AGACCAGATGATCATATTGGCCCCTTCTGACCTTAAAGTCTATGAGTCTATGAATCAGGAGAATCAACAGCATCAGTCTGGTGTCCTTCTGCACCACACACATTTCACTTCCAAATTACACAGTCAGTATAACTGTGGTTCTATATGTCCACAGTTTCATAGCAAGCCTGATGTCATGATAATCCCACAGAGACTCCTGAAGGACCTGAAATGCGGCAGCTGCTGCTGTTATATGAGCTACGGGCACCCACATTTTTCAAGCATCTTCCAGGACTGTCTATGATGCTGCCCAAATATTTAACAGTCCAGAGAGGTGAACATTGAGCTCTTTCTAATTTGGAGCTGAAGTTTGTTAGATGCTAATGGCCAGGGACTTCATTAATAGCCAGACTAATGCATGCGGCTCCTCACCTGAGCAGCTCACCTTAAGCTGCATTGACTCTCTGACCTGGGCTAACAGGACAATGCTATTGGCATATTCAGGTTCTCAAAGCAGAATGGTGTTCAGCTCAATGCCACTGATAGTCACCTCCTCAAATGTATCCAATAGCCAATCAGTGCTGGTATAGACTTGTCCACCTAGGGGCTCCTTACACCTTCCACTGAAGTGGTGATAGTGGTTCAGGTCAGTGAGGTCTAATATATATAATGTGCCCTGGTCTTCATCAGCAGATCTCAAAATGCTTCATAAAGGAGGTCAATGTTATTATACCCATTTTATTGATGGGGACACAAATGCCCAGAGGGTTACCCTGCATCAGAGCCAGGACAGGACCCCCGATCTTCTGACCCTCAGTCCAACCCCGCTGCCACCAGACCCCACTGTCTTGCCTCCAACGTAACCTTCAAGGCGCTTTTAAAAAAAATACAGTTAGCCTCAGAATTGTTACTTGCCAAAAAACTCTCATGACTGGGGCCTTACCAAATTCATGGTCTGTTTTGATCAATTTCGCAGTCAAAGGATTTCAAAAAGTGTAAATTTCACTGTTTCAGTTATTTAAATCTGCAATGTCATGGTGTTGAAACTGTGGGTGTCCTGACCCAAAAGTGGGTGGTGGGGGATTGAAAGGCTACTGTATGGGGGTTGTGATATTGCCACCATTACTTCTGCACTGCTGCTGGTGGTGGCATTGCCCTCAAAGCTGGGTGGCTGGAGAGTGGCGGCTGCTGGCTGGAAGCCCAACTCTGAAGGCAGCGTTGCCACTAACAGCAGTGCAGAAGTGAGGGTGACATAACTTTATTGGTGGGGTCAGGGCCGGCATTATGGGAGGGGTGACCACCCAGGATGCTGTTGTCCAGGGGGTGCCATGGTCACCCCCCGCAAGCTCACCCACAGCCACCCAAGGCCTTTTTATCCCCCTTCAACCCAAGTGTTCGGCCTGGAGCCAGGGAGGGGCCGGGCTTAGGGCACCCCAGTTGAGGGCTCGCTCCCACCTCCAGGAACCTCCCCTAGCTGGAGGAAGCTGCTGGTGGCTGGTGGTGGTGCAGACGTAAGGGTGGCAATCCTGCAACCCCTCTGCAATAGCCAGACGTCATGGTCTGTGACATGTTTTTCCTGGCCATGAATTTGGAAGGGCCGTACTCATGATCATTCTTAGGATCGTGTAATCTCTAGACCTAGTGGATTTTGTGCTGGCGTGAGCGAGAGCATGTAGAGTTATCAGTGAAATGCTGAGCTGCTGTCCCCGTAGAGTCACTACAAGGCAACGGCCGCTCTTGGATTACAAGTGGAAGGAAGGGATTCTGGCTACATCCCCCAGCATGGCTAGCCTGCCTGCCCATTCAAATTGCCCATCAGCAGAATACCTTGGCATTGGTTCCACCCATGGGACAGTCTCTGACTTCCTTCAGCTGGACAAGCGGTGCTTAGAGAGTGAACACTGCCACTAAACTCTTAACTAGCTGGTGTGGATGAGCCCCTGGCAGGGTTATAGCTGGTGTAGTGAGCTCCATTGCCCTGCAGTCGCTAGCACATGTTCCCACATACCCTGAGAAGTCCACAGGAGATTATCAGATCCAGCAGACCCTGGGGTGTCCAGGTTGGTGTAGAATGTCCCCTTAGTTCTTCAAGTGTTCATTTGCCTTTGTGGATCAAGATGCAAATGCAACAAGCTTCCAGTTGGAAGAGTGATTGTAACTCCAGTTATTGGTGAGAAACTGACATTTTTCTGATCATGAAACATTCTGCTAATGCCACCTGCCATCCTGTCTAGTGTGTCTCAAGGAATAGTACAGGACCCCATCAGGTGAGGTGCTGGCAGAGGCTGCTCTAGGTACATGCAATGTAGGCAGCTGTCTATGGTGGCAGACTTCTGAGCAGTTGCCTACAGCCTGTCAAGTATCAGAGGGGTAGCCGTGTTAGTCTGGATCTGAAACTGCTTCTGTAGTTGGCTAGCCATACACAGTCTTTGTTTAATCCTGAGCTGATGGTGTCAAATTTGCAGATGAACTGAAGCT